CTATCGTCCGCTATCGTCTGCTTCAGACGATAGCCGACGACAGCCACCCCCGGCGGCCCCTATCAGATCCCATCGTCTGCTATCGTCTGCACCGTTTCTCTATCGTCTGCAGCGGGCCCTGGCAGCCCCTAGTTAGCCCTATCGCCTGCTATCGTCTGCTATCGCCTGCTGCAGACGGTAGCAGACGACAGCCACCCCTGGCGGCCCCTATCAGATCCTATCGTTTGCTATCGTCTGCAATCGTCTGCACCGGTTCTTGGCGGCCCCCAGCTGGACCTATCGTCTGCTATCGTCTGCAATCGTCTGCAGCGGTTCCTAGCGGCCGCTAGCTGGTCCTACCGTCTGCCATCGTCCGCTGGAGACGATGGCAGACGATTGCCACCAGTGGCCCTAATGCGTCTATCGGCCCCTGCAGTCGATGTCCATTCAGCAACGATGCCCAGGCGAATTGTCTTGATCAGGAAGAGGATGGGGAGTGGAGCGAGGATGAGGAGAAGAAAGAAAACGAGGGGGAGGAGGAGAGCGAACGGAATTGGGCAGCGGGAAGAGGATGAGGAGTACGAGAATGAGATGGGGGAGGAGAAGTGGGGTGTGAGTGTATATGGGTGTGCGCCTGAGTGTGAGTGCGTATGAGCTTAAGCTATAGGAGTGTGAGTGGTATGTTTGTGAATGGGTCTGTGCGCATCAATGCCCATCCAGCAACGATGCCCAGGCAAATGATCTTGATCAGGGAGAGAATGGGGAGGGGAGCGAGGAGGGGGAAAGAGGATGAGGAGAAGGAGGAAAACGAGGGGGAGGAGGAAAGCGAACGGAATTGGGTAGCGGGAGAAGGATAAGGAGTGCGAGAATGAGAGGGTGGAGGAGAAGTGGAGTGTGAGTGTATATGAGTGCGCGCCTGAGTGTGACTGTGTATGAGCTTAAGCTTCTAGGAGTGTGAGTGGTCTGTGTGTGAATAGGTCTGAGTGCTATTGAGTTTGATTGTGCTTAAGTCTGGGTGTGAGTGAGTCTGAGTGCGGATGAGTCTGAGTATGAGATATGAGTGAGTGCGAGTGTGGGGGAGTCTGAGTGTGAGTGCAGGTCGGGCCTTGAATCTGGAGTTTGAGTGCGTCACGGACGGAGTTCCAGCGGTCCCAGGGCCCGAAAACAGCTTCCATATATGGCCTCACTGGACTCGCCGGACTCACCGGACTCACCGGACTCACCGGACCCACCGGGGCCAGCGGAGGAGGCACTGGACTCACAGGACCCGCCGGACACACCGGACTCGCCGGACTCACCGGATTCCCCGGACCCGCCGGACTCACCAGACTGGCCCGACCCACCGGACCCACCGGATCCGCCAGCAGCGCCGGATCCGGCCGGGCCCACCAGACTGGAGCAGCAGGGTGCACCATCCTCACCAGCAGCCCTCGAAAGTGGCGACAATTTCGCAGATCGCGGCCCCCCAGGGACGGGGAGGTCACTCCGCTGGACCCACCAGCAGCCCTCGAAAGTGGCGACAATTTCGCAGATCGCAGCCCCCCAGGATCGGGGAGGTCCCGCTCAGGTCCGCGCGATGCCTCACCCCGCTGGACCCACCAGCAGCCCTCGAAAATGACGACAATTTCGCAGATCGCAGGCCCCCGGGGATGGGGAAGTCCTGCTCAGGTCCGCACGGTGCCTCCCACCAGCAGCCCTCGAAAGTGGCGACAATTTCGCAGATCGCAGCCCCCCAGGGACGGGAAGGTCCCGCTCAAGTCGGCGCGGTGCCTCACTCCGCTGGACCCACCAGCAGCCCTCGAAAGTGGCGACAATTTCGCAGATCGCAGCCCCCCAGGGACGGGGAGGTCCCGCTCAGGTCGGCGCGGTGCCTCACCCCGCTGGACCCACCAGCAGCTCTGGAAAGTGACGGCAATTTCGCAGATCGCAGCCCCCCAGGGACGGGGAGGTCCCGCTCAGGTAAGCGCGGTGCCTCACTCCGCTGAACCCAACAGCAGCCCTCAAAAGCGATGGCAAATTCGCAGATCGCAGCCCCCCAGGGACGGGGAGGTCCCGCTCAGGTCCGCGCGGTGCCTCACTCCGCTGGACCAACCAGCAGCCCTCGAAAGTGGCGACGGTTTCGCAGATTGCAGCCACACAGGGACGGGGAGGTCCCGCTCATGTCCGCGCGGTGCCTCACTCCGCTGGACCCACCAGCAGCCCTCGAAAGTGGCGACAATTTCGCAGATCGCAAGCCCCCAGGGACGGGGAGGTCCGCTCAGGTCCGCGCGGTGCCTCACTCCGCTGACCCACCAGCAGCTCTCCAAAGTGGCGACAATCACGCAGATCGCAGCTCCCCAAGGGACGGGGAGGCACCGCTCAGGTCCGCGCGGTGCCTCACTCCGCAGGACCCACCAGCAGCCCTCGAAAGCGGCGACAATTTCGCAGATCGCGGACCCCCAAGCACGGGGAAGTCCCGCTCAGGTCCGCGCGGTGCCTCACTCCGCTGAACCAACCCAACAGCAGCCCTCCAAAGTGGCGACAGTTTCGCAGATTGCAGCCCCCCAGGGACGGTGAGGTCCCGCTCAGGTCCGCGCGGTGCCTCACTCCGCTGGACCCAACAGCAGCCCTCGAAAGTGGCGACAATTTCGCAGATCGCAGCCCCCCAGGGACGGGGAGGTCCCGCTCAGGTCCGCGCGGTGCCTCACTCCGCTGGACCCAACAGCAGCCCTCGAAAGTTGCGACAGTTTCGCAGATCGCAGCCCCCAAGGCAAGGCAAGAGGAGACAAGGGAGGCGGGAGGCGGGAGGAGAAGGAGGAGGAGGAGGAGGAGGAGGAGGAGGAGGAGGGAGACGCGACCGCGGCGCTCTATTCGAAACGAATACCCAACCAAGGAGGGATGGGAAGCACCAAAACAACAGTCCCCCAAAACCTCTGAGGACCTGCGAACACCGACTTGTCCTCATTCCTTTCTTGCTCTCGACGTAACCGGGACGTGACTCCGCAGGCGAAGCAAAACTGTCCAAACCTCTCCACCCTGCTGAAATTGAGGAGGACGGAGGGGCGCACGAGACGAGAGAAGAAGACGCATCCCCTGCCACCTGCTGCTGCTGCAAATCCCCCACGGATCCCCACGCCTGCCCCCCTGGAGACCCAGGTCTAGGGACCCTCCTAGGATGTGGGCGTGGGTTCTGGCAGCAGGCGTACATGTAGCTTTGGCGTTGGTAGCTAATGTCGTTTTAGCTTCAGCTTTCGCGATCGCTTATGTTCTGGGTGTTGCTCCTGCTTCGGCGTTAATATTCTTTCTCGCTCCAGCTGCTTCGGCTCTGTTTCTTTTGGAGCACAGTGAAAACGTATAGTACAGACGCGTGGTGAGGACGCAAGACCCTTGGAGGCCGAAGTTGAAGTATTCTGGGCGGCAGGCGGCCAAACCCCGAGGGAACCTGAGAAACTGGCCTGCGAAAATTGCTAGGGACGGGCCGCAGAGGCTGATGCAGGCAAGGACCCAAGGGTACCCTTGAAAAAGTCGTTTGTCCTTACTATGCGCGTTGACTGTAGGGCGACTTGATACGGTTTGGCCAAACTGGCCAACCTTAGTTTATCAGCCAACCCCATTCGGACGCAGGCAAGAAGAGAGTCTCCTGCTCCTCCTTCTCCTCCTCCTCCTCCTCCTCCTCAAACTCGACCTGCCGATCCACAGTTCAAGGCAGAGCGGTGATGCCTGTACAGAACTGGATAAAGAGAGGGGGTCGAGAACGAGGGGGGAGAGGTATGCAAAAAGGCCGCCGTGCAAACCATCTGGGATGACCACGTTAGCCCAACACGGCCCAGGCCACTCCCTCCAACAAGCATCAAGGCTGGTGACATGGGAGTTCTGTGTATAACGTTCGCTGTAATAACCCCCACCCGCCGTGGCCTCTGCGAGCGGGGAAGCGGTTTGAACCAGGCAGATGTAATAGCATAGGAAAGCGCACAGCCAGAAAAAATTAGCTCTCCAGGGGGGAGGGGAGGCTAGGCCCTCCATCGGCCCCTGGAGTTGGGGGGCGGGCGACAAAACAGCTACGACGGAGGGTTGCTGCTCCTCCTCCTTCTCCTCCTCCTTCTCCTCCTCCTCCTCCTCCTCCTCCTCTTCCTCCTTTTCTTTTCACTTGTCAATAACTCCTCCCTGTCGCACCCCCACCACGCGTTTCGCCTGAGACTGCATTAAGATTCATGAACCTGGAGCTTAGACATAGGCGGCAGTTTCACCAAGGGAGGGCGGACTGTCTTCAAAATGTTGTTTTCGCCTTAGAGCCGCGCAGAAACGTCTTTAAAGTTTGCAAGGATTTCACAGGTTGAGGGCGGGTGGTTTTCAAGATGTGGCTCTCGCCTTATCGCCGCGCACATTCGGCTTCAAATCTTGCAAGACTTTTACGTATTGAGGGCGAATCGTTTTGGATAACTATGTTGCTCTCGCGTTAGCGCCGCGCGCACTCGTGTTAAGAATTTACAGGAGTATCACGGATTGATGGCGGTTCCTTTTCAAAATGTGGCTCTCGCCTGAGCGTCGCGCATATTCGCCTTAAACGTTTGCAACCATTCCACGGGTTCACATGGTCTTCGTACCAGAAGTTGCGTTTTTGAACGGTTCAGGATTGTCAGCGCGATATCGTGATGTGGACTCTCGGTGTTGAAGTCCCAGGAATGGTGTTCTGGCAAGATTCAGGATCGTCAAGACGCAACAATCACTTTGATTCGTGGCGTTGGAGTCCCGAGAATGGTGTTTTGACACGTTTCAGGGTCTTCAAACGGCTGTCTCCCAACGGGGCACTTCACTCAGTGGAGGTGAACCCTTGCAGGGCCCCGTGAAGAGCGAGTTTGGAGGGAGGGTGTACGTCAGCATCGTTGACGGGTCTTGGGTTTACGCTGGTCCTCCTCCTCCTCCTGCTCCTCCTCCTCCTCCTCGTCCTCCTCCTCCTCCTCCTCCTCCTACTCCTCCTCCTCCTCCTCCTACTCCTCCTCCTCCTCCTCATCGTCGGTCTTTTTCCTCCGCGCCCGCCCCTCCAGCTTCGAGGCGCGGATGGTCTCCCTGACCCACTGGTCCTGGGGCACGCGCGGCCGCGGGGCGACCCAGGGCCTGGGGCGGGGTCGCCGGGAGGCTCGGGGGGGGGGGGGGCAGCACAAGGACCAAGTGCTGCCGGCAGGCTGTCGTAGCGCTCGCCGTCGCTCGGACGTCCATTCCCCATGCATGGTTCGATGTCGCGCGCGTGTCTTTTTCGCAAGGCGGCCCAGGATGCTCCTCGATGATCCTCACCCCCCTACAATTTTGGGGGGAATCAGCACACCAGCCAAGCGACGATGACTCAATGAGCTCTGGGACTGCAAACCGCCACAGCGATGCTGCCCCGCAGCATGCATCGGAGGAGCGCCTGGCCAGCGCCTCGCCCCCCCCAAAAATGCACACGCCCGAGCGATGCCGAGAGCACGCGTGGCCGGATCCGCGCTTCGGGCGCGCGCCAGCACGGATTACGGATCCCGTGGGTCTGGCGCGTGGGCGCGGGATCGGTGGAGGCACCACCAGAAACGTCAGGCCACTGCCGCCCGACTTTGGCGACAGAGCGCGCCGATTCGGCACGTCAGCGGGACCCGCCGTTGCAGTGGCGGCGAGTCCACAAGGAAACCTTCCACAAGAAACCCAACCCTGAGACCCCAGGAGATCCATTGATTTTTGAGTGTGGGAACGTCACGCTTTCCATCGCAAGACCATCAACACACAAGAAACCCAGGGCACCCTTGAGGAAAGCAGGGCGTTTCTTGGCATGGGTCCCCACTGTACTCCACGCGCCCTGATCCGTGGTTCCGCTTCCTCGAGCGTCGCAGGACGCGCGGAGGCCGCGCGCTGGGTGCACGCGCGGAGGGCCTGCTCCTGGGGCCAGTCGAGGGCCGAGGGCTGAAAAGATGCGCGCCCGCAGGCCCGAATTCGCGACGTCGGCGCTGTTCGCAGGGGCGGCGGCGGGGAACAGTCCTGGAGGCCCCGCGCGCGGCAGCTCGAGACCCGATCTGCGCCAGACCCACGTCGGATCTACAACGGGCTCCCGTCGGATGTGCGTGGGATGCACGTCGGATCCACGTCGGACCTGAGCATCGCTGCGCGAAGGTCAACCCATGTCGTACGGAGCGGACGTGCGGGCTTGATGATACAACCGTTGTGTGCCGCGCGAGGCCTCCAGGAGGTTCCTCCTGGCACCAGGGTCTGGGGACCCTCTGGGCCCCATACCCGGCCGGAAGGAACTGATGCGCTTCCCCGAAACGACGACCACGGCATTCGACGACTGACAGAACACTCGCAAAACGCCCCGTAGTGAAAGCTGCCAGGGGCACTCCTTTTACACATGGCACCGCATCCCGAGGGGACCCCAGCGTGGTAGCTACTCGACGTCCACAAAGAACCGAATGTGTCCAGCGAAACGCATGTTGATTCGCGAAACAGACCGGAGACTGCACAGGCACACTCGAATGCCAATGTCCCGTGAACCCGTGCAAATTTCCTGTCGACTTGTCTGGGTGGGCGTTTCTTGGAGGCTTCGAAATTGGCACCACTACCAACACGTGGGGTTGCCTCTACCTGAGGAAGATGATCCTAGATTTCGGTGTTGATGATAATGTTTCGGCCACCTTTGGAAGCCCGAATACTACCACCATCACCGAGATCGGGATAATCTTCCCTCGGTGGAGGCACAGCGCCGATATTGGTGTTGGTGGCAACCTCTGGGCTTCCGAGCTTCTCCAACGCGAGATCAGGGCACGAGGGTCTGGGGGACCTCTGGGGCCCCAGACCAAGCCGAGACCGGCGCACTCCCCCGGAAAGCGGACCGAAGCATTCCAATCTGAACCACAGCGGCCGAACTTTCGGCTGGCGCCCGCGTGCGTGCAGTCAAGGCGTATGATATGCGAGGCGGAGGCTCATCCTTTCGGCGGCGAGCGCGGGATGGAAGTGAGAAGGAGAAAACCTTCTCAGAAGGCGGCGAGACTTCTCAGAAGCCCTCGCGCCTTCTGAGAAGTTGCCTGTGTCGTCGGGAGAGGCATAGAAAACTTCTCGGAAGGCCGGGGGACTTCCGAACCTTCTGAGAAGGCCGTCTTTGTCTCACTTCCCCCCCTCGCCCTCCGCCGAGATATGCAAGGCGGGGATTCATCCAGATCCACCGCCTGGGAACCGACGTCCTGAGGCCCCAGCGGGCGGTGGATGTGGATGTCCAGTCGGACCTAGGCCAGAAGAGCATCCTTCAAGACCCTCCGCCAGGCAGAAGACATCCTTCAAGAAATCCTAGGCCAGAAGACCCTCCGCTGGCCAAAGCACCCCAAACCCTGAGATCATTTAAAGGTACCCTCCCCCAGGATGCACAAGAACATCTAAGAAGCACGAAAAACATCAGGAGACCCTCCCCAAACCGACCTCGATCTTGCATCTCGGTCCGACTGTACTTTGGCCCCCGGGGTGCCCCCAAAAAACCATCCACCGCCTGTGGGGGTCCACGAAGATCGATCCCCTAGGTAAGCGACGATC